AGCTTTCTTTCAGTACCACTTTGGCAAAATCCTTTAAATTCTGACATACAGTTCTCTCCATTTTAAATCTCCAAGTAATTGGTGATTTCAGTTTGGACACTGAACGGAAACACCTCTGTTAATTGAGCCTTACTCACAACGGCCAAGATACGGAAATAATCCAAATGTCCTTGGAGGGTGGACGAAGTAAAGAAAATGTGATATATTTACATGACTGGAGGGACATGGTAACTATGAGAGCTAATGCAAATTTATCTACTGGACAGTCTGCAGGTTTCTATTACATCCAACACATTCACAGTTTTCTCACCTACACCACATTAGGAAAGTCTGTGATCTGAGCAGCACTAATAAATTATAATTAAAAACGTAAGTGTCCACTTCCTCTATCCCTGCTCCCCTTCGCAAACATCTTCCTAAAGCTCTCAGAGTCAACATGTTTTCTTTCTGATTCTGGAATTTCAGATCGTTAGGTGCCAAGCGCATTCACCCCTGCACCTTCCCTTTCCACCCTCCTCCCCAGATCTTTTTTCCTCCCTTCCCCTCCCGTCTTCCAGTTTTGCTCCATGACTGCCTGGTAGCAGACCCTGTGACAGACACAGAAAGGCGCAAGAAGTCCACAGTTTCTCTCTTGGGCCAAGTCTCTGCATCTTCACTGGCTTTGGTATCCAGGAGACAGAAAGGGAAGTGGCCCATCTTGTCCTCTGTTGGGGCACTCACAATGCCCACCACGTTGTGACAGCTGAACAGTGTTGTTCTTGTTGATGATGTTGTTGTCGCAGGTTTTGAGAGCCACCATGCAGGACGAGCTGGAGGCGGCCAAGACCAAACCACTCGTGTTGGACTTGTTTCGCTCGCCCAACTTGCGTAAAAGGATGTGTCTCCTGTGCTGCACGAGGTAGGCTTCATGGCGTGCGTGAGGAATGTTAAAAATAGCGGACACGTGAGTCTGTGTATCTCGAAGGACATAATGTGCGACGGGGCAGGCCATCACGTTGCCCTGACAGGCCCAGCACTGGAGATGATGCTGAGAACATCAGTTGTGGAGCAGACTCTGGCGTTGAATTTCTTTCTGTTTCCATTTTAACTGAGTACAGTGCTCACATGTATATGTATACAACTCAGTGAATATTTCTATATGTAAATAGAAAAAACCCTCTAAATCCCTCTAAGTCCCCATTATGTATCTTCTACAACAACACTTCCCACCCCTCAAAAAAGTTAAGAAAAATTATGATCTCCATCAACATACAATTGCTTTATGTTAACTTAAAAATCACAGCCTTGCAAAGAAATATTCCTTTAAACCATCTATGGCTTTATTCTTTATCACCAACCCCTGCTGCCTGGGCCAATATCACTGTATTTTGTAACGCCTACCACCGACAATATGTGTCTCTCATCTTTGTTCACCGTAGGTTTGCAATCTTCTTACCCTCGTATGGCCTGGTTCTCCACCTCCAGCACCTGGGGAGCAATGTTTTCCTGTTCCAGGTTCTCTTCGGCGCAGTCTCCCTCCCAGCCAATTACATTGCATTTCTGGCGCTGAATCGCCTGGGCAGGCGAGGAAGTGAGGCGCTTTTCCTGCTCCTGCTGGGGAGCTCCGTTCTGGCCATCACGTTTGTGCCTCGAGGTGAGAGAGGAGCATGAGCTGGAAAGCAAAAAGCTTCCCTCCATTCCTCATGAACCGTACTGGTTGCACTCATTTGAAGCCAGAAGGCAATGGACTTTGGGTTCAAGGATCCCCCCCAAGCCAATCTGGGGGTTTAGTACCTGGTCTGCCATTAAATTGCTAGGAAAAGAATCAGAGGTCAGTTAAGGTTGGCTCAGATATACGATGTGTCCGTCTCATCCTGGAAGTGCCTGGAGGCCGGTGCCATGGATTGTGTTACCGGCTGTTTCTCCAGCACAGTAACTGACCATTTATCTCAGGGTGATTGCACATTGGCCAGGTGACTTTGTCATTGTAGCCCGCGTGAGGACACAGTACTGTCATTTTCCCTGTCTGGGTTCTCACTTGTGACAGCAGCTTTAGTGAAAATTGCTATCCTGAGTGGGGCACAAGGGGAAAAAAATGGAGGCAAATGTAATAGAATAAATAATAAAAATATAAAAATATTTAAAAAGAAGGGAGGAAAATGAATATCCTGATTTCATGCCTCCATATTGTCCGTGTGCGGTCACAGTAACTGCAGCTCTGGTTGAGGGGTGTCATTTTGACCCGAAGAAAACAAAAATTCCTTGTCTTCAGGAAGAGAAGGATATAGTAGGAGCAAGGCCCCATGCAGTCAAAGCCTCTCTAAAGTCAACTTGATGAAATGAAACGATCAGATGTAACGAAGAGGGAGACCCACCCAGGTGGTCACCGTGCTCCTCTAACGCCCAGTGCAGTGGTGCATCTTACAGGATCCCAGGCGGGTGGGCTTCACTCATCTCAAACGTCAGCACTGATGCAAGTTTGCTGCCTTACAACAGAGCCCCCCTGACCCAATGTCATAGTGCTCTCAGGAGACACCTTTTTCATGGGCTAGAAGCTGACTCTCTGAAAGCTTTCTCCAGTGGTTTTCAAAGTCAGATCCTTGTTTCCCTTATGAAGGCTCTTAATCTAGATTCTTTAACATCATTCTAAGTCTAGCTGCTCTCCGAATTGTCCATTAACATGTGAGCCCTGTCCTTTCATTGTTTTCTTCTGTAATATTAGCCCCGTGCATATGGCATATGCATGGAGGCTTTAAATTCTTGGGGACGTGGATGAGTCTTAACACCCTTCAGCATTGCCCACATGACTGTTTTATGTGAAAAGCAGATGAGACACAGAACAGAACTAGTGCAAGAAAGCAGCTGCGGCACTCACCTTCTCCTGTCCTTTTCTGGGAAATCTCAAATCTGCAAGGAAAACTGATGAAATAATTTGCACCCTTTAAAAAAACTTTATTTATTTACTTTTAGAGAGAGGGGAAGGGAGGGAGAAAGAGAGGGAGAGAAACATCCATGTGCAAGAGATATGTCGATTGGTTGTCTCTCACATGCCCCCCACCTGGGGACCTGGCCTGCAACCCAGGCAGGTGCCCTGACTGGGAATCGAACCGGCAACATTTCAGCTCGTAGGCTAGAACTCAATCCACTGAGCCACACCAGCCAGACCTCATAATGCTCAGCCCTTAATTCACTGTGAACCACAATATGTCGGTGAGCCACATTTCACAGCTTATTAGATGCTGTATGTTTTCTGTCTCTGTGCAGTTTCTGTACAATGTGTTTTCTATAGGTGCAAACACCCCCATGAGGGTCTTTTGCATTTGTAAGCATGGGGATGCTAATTCCTTCACTTCTGATTTCCCAAGTGTCATTGACTTTCCTCTCTTCAGAAATGCAGACCGTGCGTCTGGTTTTGGCAACGTTGGGAACAGGAATGTGTATGGCTGCTATCTCCAGCGCTGTGACCCACACGATAGAGTTACTTCCCACCGTGATCAGGTACCGGACTCACGGATGCCCTTTCAGGGTGAAAACAGACCTTTCCCAGCCAATGCACACTTCTTAAAGGAAGAAAACTAAGACTTATCAAAAGCATAGTTGTAATGACAACAATAATTTTTAAGCAAAGTTTATTTAAAACTGACTTGTCAGGCACTGGGTTAAGTGCTTTAATGTAATATCTCACATAATTTTCTGAGTTGCACTAATGGTAGATGTTATGAGTAACAGTACTTTTCAAAATAATCAAATTGTGTCTTAATATACTTAATGCATTTGGACTTGAAAACTCTTGTTGGTAAATAAGAGAACATTTCAAAAGCAAGAGTGTGGCATCACACTGCTGTGCTGTCTCCCATCATCAAAGCAAGATAATAAATTACACTTCACACATGTGGATTTTAACCAGATTATTTTTGTACTGTCATCTGCACTCCAGGGCAACAGCTTCAGGAATCATAGGGATTGTCGGTAATATGGGGGCAGCCCTGGCTCCCCTCCTGATGATCCTGACCGTGTATTCTCCCCACCTGCCCTGGATCCTCTATGCAGTCGCCAGCTTCATCCCTAGCCTTATTGTCTTCCTCCTTCCTGAAACCAAGAATCAGCCTCTGCTTGACTCCATCCAGGATGTGGAAAAGGGGTGAGTAGCCCCCTGGCTGTCCCTTGGGGGAGCTGTGTGCTCTAGGTCTGTGAGGAGGGGGGCGAAACAGAAATGAGACCACTGTCCTCTGGGCGGGTGCAGACCTAGACCGTTTCCACGTGGTCAGTGCCTTTGGTTGGGCTTCAGCGTGATCCCGCCCGTAGTGACTTCAGACTCTGCCAAGGTTCCTAGGCCACACACACCAGCCCTGCCCAGCCCGCACCAGTAGGTTTAGTGGTGACGGTGCCCTTGTGTGACCACCCTCCCCCCCGAAGGTGTTACATGAACATGCACAGCTCTGAACACCAGCGCCTCATCCTCAGGCCCTGGCTGCCCTCGGCCCAGTGAGTGTCGTGAGCTCCCTGGGACTGCTGGTTCCAGGAGGTCTGTGGGTGCCCTGGCCCCTGAGGAATTGGAGAAAGGCCAGGGCAGGGCCAGAGCCCCTCCCACAGGTGACCGTGTGTCTCTGGGGAAGGAGTGCTGCCCTTCACCTTCACACCACGTGGTGCTCACTGCGGTGGAAGTGTTGAGAAAAGAGGACAAAGAGTGGTAAATACTGGTAGCCAAGAGGACCAGGACTTGGAAAGGATTTCTGGTGAACTTGTGGCATGCTTTCCTAGCCTTTTCCGAGTCCCTTTGGGCCATGCCCTGGTGTCCGACGAGAGTGGAGAGTGGAGACTGCCAGAGCTGCCTTCCCAGTCCCACCCTGGGAGCTCGGGGTTTCCTTCACAGAGGTCACCCAGATCCTCAGGGCAGCGGTCATGGCTTCCATCAAAGCTGGCGGGTCAAGAATTAGCTTCTCTACAGAATGTAGAACATACATGCTTTTTCTGTGTGTTTTTTAAAAATTGTGTTTGTTTGCTGTGTCATTGTGTTCTAGGAGAAAAGGCTCACGAAAAGAAAAACAGGAAGACACCCACGTGAAAGTGACCCAGTTTTAAGGGATTCCAGCAACAAAGTGCTAATCAGAGGGCCAGACAGAGGGGAATGGGATCATCCCTCAATATAGGCAACTTTTGGGAAAGAAGTAAATAAAAAGCTATAATGAAAAAGTGGATCTCATCTACCATTGCAGTACTAAACAAGTATATATAGAATACCTATGATTAATCGTCATAAGAAGTTCTCAGAGCCCTGGCCAATGTGGCTCAGTTGGTCGGAGTGTCATCCTGTAAATTGGAAGGTCACAGATATGACTCCTGGTCAGGGCACATGCCCAGGTTGCAGGTTCAGTCCCCGGTTAGGGCAACCAACCTCACATCAATGTGAGAGAATACTCTCACATCAGTCTCTCTCTCTGCCCCCCCTTTCCCCCTCCCCTCTAAAGTCAATAAGCATGTCCCCGTGAGGATTACAAAAAGCAAAGAAGTGTGAGGAAGGTTGCCAGCTTTTAAAGAAAGCATAATGAAATGTGTAGATAAATTTTGATCCCTAACATGTCTGTGGATAGAAAGAATAGTATTAAAAACATTGATTCTGCTCCAGTTACTTGGTAGAGTAATTAATTACAAAGAAAAAAACTGCATACTCTTGAAAGAATTTTTAAAAGTTACAACTTTATCTACAAATTAATAATAAACAAAGTGACTTAAGAAAGAGAATCACAGAACGAGGGGGGCTGGCTGGTGTTTCCAGTGGCGTCTGCTCGACTCTGTCGTGGCAGCCACGGTCCGAACAGGAAGAGCAGGCGTCTTCACTCGTCAGAGGAAGTGCGGAAACAGACCATAGGAGATGTAACAGGTAATATGTAATTCCGATATCATAAATCGCTGGGCAAAGTAAAGGATTATACAATAAATAGCATAACTAAGTACTTACAAATAAATGACTAATAATGTGATCTCATACCCTAAACCCCCAAATGTTCTACTTTAATAAAAAGTTGATTGGAAAAAACAAACCCTAATTTCCGGTAGAAAACTTGGCTACAAAGTCTTGGGATAGCAAAATGTTTTGAGCAGTAAAGCAAATGCTAGACTTTAGCGACAGGTGATTTGAATACAACTCATTGAAAGCCACTGTTGGGCAAAGCCTCAACAAATCATTGGAGAAAACCGGAAAAATGTTTCACCAACATGATAAAAACAGGTAACTTCCAGTGGTGGACTTTTAAAGTGATTGTTCCTTTCTCCTTTGTGTCTGCCCTCAAAGTTTAAATAAGGAGTATGTGTAGTCTCAAAACATGGTAAGATGTCAACAATGAAGGAGCAAATGAAATGATAAACGATTTTCAAAATGTACTGCTAACAGGTAGAATTCTCATCAATGTCTACCTGTTTTGACCCCTGCCTTAGTGTAATGAACGCCTGACTCGCCGTAGCTCCACAGGGTCCACATTCACAACGTGATCATTTCCCCACTCCCTGTGCATGGGGATCGGATCTACTTAGAGGCTGGCAGAACCCTTACCTTGGCCTGTGGGGTAAGAGCTATCACAGTGGAAAGGGCCAAGGAGAAATTGAAAAGCTGCTGTCTAACTCCCTTCCAAGATAGTAAATCAGAAAGAATAGGGTGTTCTAATGGACAGCAGAAGTTATTCCATCCCTCGAGGCCTGAAGCTCCCAGGGGTGGCAGTTCCCATGATGTCCCTTTAGTTACTTGCGGGGCCCAGCTTGACTCCACTGAGGTCCGTCCCTGCAAATAACTGAGTGACCTTGAAGGATAACTGTGGACGGCTGTGAACAGAACCAGGCACTAGATCCAATTGGAGCTTCTTTCCACTTGTGGATGGGGTCTTTGCCTACGGCATGGTTTCTTTGGTAGACCTTCGCCGAAGCACCTCCAAGGCATGGGCAGTGATTTTCTAGAGCAGCAGGAGCTGAAGCCCCCCAAAGAAGTCAAAGACAAAGAAAACAATGTGATTTCGAGTATAACTTATGTCTAACCTGAAGTTGAAGGGCACGAAGACAAATGCTCTCAATGACGAGTGCTGGTGGGAAGCCCGCTGCTTTTCCCAGGGGTGAATCCTAGTGGTGAGCACTGGGTCGGGTACCATCAGGCGTTGGTTTATTAAAGGATAGTTAATGACTTCCCGAGCAATGTTAGGAAAGACAGCAAATAATTTTATAAAAGTAGGTGGAAAATATAAAAGTGAAAACACCTGTCTACAGCAAACAACAATAACCCCCCCCAAAAAAACCCCCAAAAATAAAAAACCCAAAGGGTCTCAGAAAATTATTGCTGAGGAAAAGAACAAAACCATCAGGCATTCCTGGAAACCAGAAAACATTTTTGCTTTCATTCAGTGGTCCTTTGGTTTAAGCCAGAAGACTGTATTTAATGCAAAGAGAAAGAATGTAATTTAAAATCCTATATGTAATGCTAGAACTATATTATCCAAAAATAGTATCTAAAAGGCCCTGACTAGTGTGGCTCAGTGGGTGGGGTGTCTTACCTCAAACAGAAAGGTCACCAGTTGGATTCCCAGTCAGGGCACATGCCTGGGTTGTGTCCATCCCCGGTTGGGACGCGCAAGAGGCAATTGATCGATGTTTCTCCCCCTCTTTCTCCTTCCCTTCCCCTCTCTCTAAAAATAAATAAATAAAATCTTTTTAAAAAATGTATCTAAAAGGCTGGGGTGTGTAGCAGTGTTATATGTTAAATTTTCATGCGGAATAATATAATATTTTTAAGTAATGGCTGATATGTTTTATGTGTGCTCCGGCTGCAAACACACGTACACACTCCTCTTCCTTTAATTTCTTCACTGGTTTGCCAGGACAGACCCAGCCTACACCTGCCATATCGGCATAATTATTCAGTGTCCCCTTTCACTACCCGAAGTGCCTTGGTCTTGTTCTTATGATCATCCCACCCAGGGGCTTTCTCTTCAAGTCAAGTAGTTAAAAATGAACCCTGAAACCTAGACGTGCACCATCATGTCACAGGAGTGACACTGTCAAGGTGAAACCAGCAAACTTTCTCTTTTGGGTTCAGAAATCTTTGCCCAAGTGTAAGAAAGACTTAGGAAGACATCCTTGTTAGCTAGTCCTGTCCCCACGCCATCCCTGCAGCCCTGAGACTAGCTAAAGATCCGAGCTGGGGAAGGAATTATCAGAAACGAGAACGTGCCCTGGCTGGTGTGGCTCAGTGGGTTGAGTGCCGGCCGGTGAACGAAAGAGTTGCTGGTTCGATTCCTAGTCAGGTCACATACCTGGGTTGCAGGCCAGGTCCCCAGCAGGGGGCGCGAGAGAGTCAACCACACACTGATGTTTCTCTCCTTTTTCTCCCTCCCTTCTCCCTCACTAATAAAATCTTAAAAAAAAAAAAAAAGGAACAAGAACATAGGAGCTGATGAAAAACTGTGGTCAGGTATGTGCCCCTCACCCTAAATGGAGAGAATGAGCTCTCCCACTCAGTAGGAAGCCGAGGTCTAAGGAGGAGACCTAAGGTAGAGAACCGAAAACAAGAATAAACTTACTTAAAGTTAATCTCTGTTTTGTTATCGCCATGCACCAGCAATTTTAAATAAGTGATAACATCCTCCTACACGTCACCTAAAAAATATTTTGTTGGGTTATGTTCTACAGGTTTAATAATACATCTGCGGGCTCCCAGTGAGCACGTTTTGGTTACTTACCGGTTCATAAATATCGTATTCTATATGGGCACTGGATCGCACGCAGAGCCCCCGGGCTCCCTCGGACAGCTGGTCGCAGGCATCTGCGGACCCAGCGGCGCTCACTCGTTTCAGAAGTGAGTTCGTAAGGTTTCAGAGTCAGACGTCTCGCTTTGGACACTCAGCTCCGTGGTATGACATACTCCTGCTTTTAAGTAACGGATTCACAAGAAACAAGGAAGGCGTAGTGATTGGAAAGATGAAGAACCGGAACTTGATTTAGGTCAGTTATGTCATTTTATGTGGCCACGTGGAGTTCTTTCTGTGTTTCAAATTTAGAGCAGTAAAACGGAATGCAAACCGGGAGGTGTCGATGTTCGGTGAGTGAACATGTCTGTCACTTTATGTATGAAATACTTACCTGAATTTGACAGTATTTTTTAAACGGAAATTTGAGTTTTAAGTGCTTTGAAAACTATTAGAAAAAGTAAGAAAACAAAGTGTTATGTTAGTGGTACAATTTAGTCGTTGCCTAGATTGTAACTTTTGCTAATGTTTATTTTCTTTTTTTTTAAATGTGCTTACTGGATGGACATTTACTTATATAAAATGTTATACCAGGCTGTAACCAAAGGATTTATGTTCAAATGGTGAGGTAGAATAAAGACTATTGAGGAAATAGTTGTGCTTTGCGATACTTTATTTTATTTTATTCTACAGTTTTACTGGTGTGGTTATGTATATAAAGTCTAATAAAAATTGTTCACGGTCTCTTCTGGCTATTATTATTTGTTTCCTTTCGTGATTATTAATAAAAATATTTTTGACTTTTAGAAGGTGGAGGGCTTAAAATATGACCCATTCCAAGTGAAAAATAGGCAAGGTGTGCCCCTCTGAAGTTGGGGGCCTGGGAGCAGGCGGAATCCGGGAACCACTCCGAGGGAAACTCGCCTGAGCTGACACGCGCCATGCTAGGTGCTCCCCTGTCTCAAAGGGCAGGCGGCTAAATATCTGGAAGGGCATGACAACAGGCCCACGCCTCTCTAGGCCTCATACAGGCCAAGAGGACAGCTAACGCTAAGACCTGATACCTGAAGGAGTTTCAGAGTCTTCAGGAGGGGGACCCTGTTGGAAAGTGAGCTGAACCCCACCGTTGGGAAATAACAGAACCACCGGGCCTCGGCGAGGGGCCAGAAAGAGACCACCCCAGTCACGGCCGGTGCCAGAACGCGCTCAGCCGGGGCCGAGGCCCGCACAGGACAGAGGGGAGCAGTGGACCGGACTCCACTCTCCTCCACTTAGGCTCCATCCTTGGACAAAGGCAAGAGAAGAAAATCCTCCGAGGTGTATCTGATATGACCGAGTTTACCAGTGCCGTCCGCTCTCTGGCAGAACGGGGCCTCTAAAAAGAGGAGGTTATATATATTTTTTTCTGAGTGGCGTGCTTGCACAGCCCAGTGACTTCGCTTTAAAAAAAATCCCAATGCAGTTTTTACACTAGTGCGTGACATGGAAGTCACTTTGCTATTTGCCTACGAGGTTGCGTTGCTGGCGGACGTGGAGGACGCGGTAACGCGGTAGTCTCCCTCCTGCGGCTGTCTCCCTCCACCAGCGGCTGCGTTTTTATCGTGGAATCCCCGGACACTCACGCAGAGAATGGCTGGCGTGCTGGAAACCGCTGGGTTCTGCCCCCACGTGTGGGGCGCTCTCCCCACGGTCTGCAGGGAGGAGGGCTGAATTCCCCCAGCCGCTGGGAGTGTTGATGGCTGACAGCTCCCACCTGAGTTCCTCTCTGGGCGGGTCACCCCCTCCTCCTTGGCAGCCCGCAGCCACAGACTAGGAGTGAAGAGCTGTAAAGGACGGCCCCTCTTGCCCAGGTGCAGGACAGCTCCGCAGCGCCACCCAGCGGTGGGTCGGCTTAGGCCTCGGCTGTGACTCCATCCCAGTTCCCCTTCTCCCTCTGCCGAGGCCTGCTTCCTGCACTTCCCACCTAGTCAACGTGCTGTCCACAGACCTCCGTCTCCATCTCCGAGTCTGGGTCCCCAGGGCCTGAGCTGCAATAGTAGATCTGCTACAATGCTGAACTAAACTGAAACCGCGAAAACCATGAACCCCCAAACATGTATTTCTTGTGGAATAACCTAAGGGGAGGGGGGAACCTGGAGACACAAGGGTTAGCCATGTGTCTCACTCCACAGGACGGAATCTCAGTCCTGTGTCTGGACAGGGGATTGGCTTTTGCGCATCCGAGCATGTTCCGGGTCCTGCCGGAAGGAGAGCAGGGATCTATCTAAGCCCACACGGTGTCCGGTGGCCCTTTGCTGTGTCCATCCACCGACTCC